TCACCACCCCCAACATTGACCTACCTGGTCAGTAATTACTTAGCACGACCACACGCAAGGTATCATCCTCCTCACTTTACGCATATTATCTCATTTAGTCCTGAGTGACCCTATGTGGGGTGTAACCGCAGACCAGCTCCGAAGGGGCCCTGTCCTGTCAGAGACGACAGAATGAGCTGCAAGCCGTGCAGCCACAGCACGGGCAGAGGAGAGCCTGAACCAAAGTGTCTTCCCCCCACGGAACCAAAGGGCAGGGACACCGCGGAACCCGAATTCCAGAGATCCTGCAGAAGAAAGGTCTCTTGTCTAGGAAGATCTGGTGCTGCAGCCCTTTAAGTTCCACCCCAAACCCTCGATCGGGAGGCAGATTTAAGCCTCATGTCCTGTCTCCCTGTGGGTTGACTTAGCAAAAGCTTCTATGCGTGGCGGGCAGCGTGCCCCTGCTCAGTCACAGTGGTGATCCTGCCCACTGTACAGAAGGGAAACTTGAAACCCAGCGTAACCTCTGGTCAAGAACTGTCCAAGGTCCCACAGCTAGTAAGTGGCAGAACAAGGGTTCGAACAAGGTCTGACTTAGTCCACATCCCTAACCATCAGGCCACAGCCTTGTTACTGTGTAGAGAAAAACTCAGGGCTGTGGGCACACAGAGGAAGGCGTGTGGGGCTTGGGAGAGGGAAGAGGGGTTAAGGAAGACTTCCTGGAGGAGGAGACCACTGAGTCGGGACTTGCCATTAAGGGAACTAACTGTGGGGACAGTGAGAGCCTCGTTACTGGGGGATTCTGGTGAGTTGCAAAGTGTGCTTAAATGTATGAGAAGTTTCCAGAATCAGGCATTTGCATTCAATCCCACTTCTTCTACCTGTTGACTTTGGGTTAGTTAATTTCCCTCAGTTTCAGTTTCTTCATCTGTAAAATAGGAGCATAATACACAGAGCTGACACATGGTAAGTGTTAGGCGAGCCCATTACTAACTGAAGTGATGGAGCCTCCTTGAAGCCCCTCTTTCTATGCTTGAGGTGAGGAGAAAGTACCCCCATGTCTGTCCTTAGAAGGGGTTGGTGAGACTCACAGCACCTTCTGTCTTCCAATCTTCAACCCCTGCCTTGGCCACGCCAACTTAGCTGTTGTATGCCCTTGAGAAAACGAGGCAACAAAGGCAGGGGATTCTCAACTTGATCTGCAAATCCTGTGTGAGCAGCGCTGGTTTGTCCCTTTGGGATTAGGGGAGCGATCACACCAATGGTCCCACCTCAGCCCACACTGACACTGGGGTGCAGGCGTTACTTGTTCTCCAAACTCAAGAGCCCAATGGATTCAGACATAATTTTTGAGAAATCCCATGCTATTTGAAATCTAGCTACTCACTATCCCACACTCAGGAACCAATGGGAGGCTGAGGCGGTGCTCTGACCGTCCAAACTCCCTGTCTGAACTACCAGCATGAATAAGGAGCCGGGGGGAGGGGCGCTGGTCAATGTATGTTGTCATCCTGCTCATCCCTGGGTGGCTGTGAGGACTGACTGAGATGATGTGTCTGGCCTGGTGTCTGGCCAGTGCTGGGCATGATTTATTCCAGGGGAGAATGACGTGGCTCCTTCCTTTCATTTTGTAGCAACAATGCAGAAAAGCAGCTGGTAATTCACTGGTTGACATTTCATCTGTTTCACAGAGTTGCCCTGGATACCGAGGTGTTGCAATAATCAGATGAAACCCCTGTCTCCCTCCCTGCCTGCCTGGAGCGGCAGGAGAGTGTGCGGCCCACACAGCCAACTCCCCCGGGTCCCCCAGACACAGGTGCTCCTCTGGACACCATGCATCTGTGATCCCAGAACGTTCACACTTGAGGCCTTCTTCCCGCAGTGCTAGTTGCTCAAACCCTTCCTTGGCATCCAACACATTGCTCTCACAGGATTCATTAAAGAACAAGTATCTTTCTAAAAAGCAGAAGAAACTTGTAATGAATTTGAAGCGAGAAAAAAAAAAAATCCTCATTTAAGCAACACCGTTTTCCCAAGATCCCAGGCCAAGCATTCAGGAAAGCGCAGAAACATGCATTATTGAAAAGCTTTTTAAACGAGCAACTTTTAGATTAATTTATTGTGATGCACAGGCAGGGCTGGCGCACATCCTGCTCACCAGTGAGTCTGGGGCCTGCGTCTCTCCCTTGTAGCTGGTTCTGCTGCTCGCTGGGTGGGGCCAGGAGGAAGGGCGGGGGGCACTGTGCCTTTAGTTCCCAGGTCAGCCGGGGATTCGGAAATCCAAAACCAACTTGAACAGATTGTTTGGGTGATAAAGGAGGAAGAGAGGGAGGCCACCCTAATATTTCACTGTACAGAGATGGGTGATTGGGAGCCTTAGCTCCATCCGACAGTTAGAAAGAGGCTGAACTGACTCCATGGTTAAGGGACCTGTCCTCTGCTCTTCTCCCTGGGGAGGAGCCGCCTGTTCTGCAGAGAATGGTACAGCCCACCAGCAACCAGCTCGGCTGAGCATGGGCGACCACCAGCCCCGAGATTCCTGACATCACCCTCGGCAGCTGCAGACAATGACAAGCACGTCTTCTGATGAACGGCTGTGCCAGCTGCATAAGCAGATGTGATGGAGGAGGCTCCAGCCTCCACATTTGTAAATACAACCCACTTCTCCAGGGAAAACACCAGGACTCACCCAAAGGACCCTGGCAAAATAGAGACTAGAAAATAAAATTTTAAAGTCAACCTTTAAAAATTAAACCCAAAATGTAGTTGCTGACATGTTTGAGCTATTATTTTCTGAGTTGTAGTGAGATTTCTTTAATGCCCATTGATTTCTGGGTAATAAGTGGTACCTATACGTCTCACTTCAATTACCTATTTAACATTCACTGAACCATAAATCCATTCCCGGAGCTCTGGGAATTTAGCTTAGAGTTCCCGTGACTTTGAAAAACCATTGATCCCGCGTGCGCCGAGTAGCCGCATGTCAGGCCTTTATGGCGGGTTAACTCATTCTGTGGCTTCCTTAATGCCTGTGAGTTTACATTTTAGTGCATATCTATTATTTGGGTTGGGCTGTGATGAATGGTTTGGCTGCCTCAAAACAAGTCCAAGATGACAGCAGAATCTAATTTGTTTTAAAAATGATGATCGTTGTGCTTTTCAGATAATCACCCAGGAATAAAGGAAGCAGACACCATATTGCTCTCTGTGAGACACGGGGCTGGCGGGGGAGCGATGACTGCCCCCCCTTTCCACGGCAGCTCGTGGCTGCCAGGACCGTCATGAGGGAGGCCAGGAGCCTTCCTTCCATCGGGGGCAGCAGGGATGCTTCTGTCTCCTTGCGAATAACGCCAGCAGCTTCCTGTTTGGCCGCAGACTGATTCCCAGGAGCAGAGCTCCTGAGCAGAGGCTCCTGTGGTACCAGACGGTGCCTGAGCGGTGCCGTTCCCTGCTGAATGTGCCGCTGTGGGACGCCTGATGTACCCCCAAGTCTTGAAGTCCAGCCTTGGCTCCTGGCTCTTCAAATGCACCTCTTCCTTCAAGCTCCGGTTGTCTCAGAAGTGTCCTGGAACACGTGATACTGCTTCCCTGCTGTGGAGGGCCATCTCCCTGTCATCTGCCTGGACCACCCCACTCTTTTCTTGTCCAGATTCCACAGAGATTAGAACCACCAGGAGGTCTCGGTTTGCGGAAGGTGGATGGAGAGGATATTGCAGGAGATGGACTTTGGGTCAGGAGTGATGTGCAGGGCAATGCTTAACAGCGGGCTCTCCAGAGGAAAGAGACCCCCCCCCTTCCTTTCTGTGTCATTTCTGTGGTGCAAATACTCCCACCATGGATGATGAAAGGCTGCCAGTTGTTCGTTTGTCTTGAAAATTCCTGAAAATCTAACAGTGGGCTCTCAGGAACTAGGTCTGGGAGCCGCTGATACTTCCATATGTTCTAAAATGTAGAGATTTATTTCAGGGAATAAGCTCCTTGATCCACAAAGCCAATGCCCCCCACAGCAGGCTGAGCCTATCAGTCATTCACACCTTATTCTGAACTATACTATAAGCAGGTATCACTGTTGAAGCAGGTATGGGCAGGGAGGAGGAAGATGGGGAGCCACACCTAGTCACTGCTTTGCAAGCAGATCCCTGCGCTTGGGGCGTGGGCTTTGGTCCTTGGCAACAGGGATGCTGTGAACTGAAAAGGCAGCCCTGCATCAGGTTCATGAACACTTCCTACGGGGAAGAGTCACACACGTACCTCTTCCATCTCCACAAGAGCCCTTCTCGCCAAGGACTCCTTCCAGGCCTTGTGGGTGTTTGGAATAACAGCCGCCAAAAGGAGACGTCCACAGGGAACACCGACACCTTTCTGAAAGGGGAGCTCCGGGGTGGGAGCGGTGGGGGTGGGGCAGAGTGGCAGGGTCTGTGGCTCAGAGGCTCAGAGCACCCTGGGAGTGCCTCACCCTATTTCTCAAATTCCAGGGCCTAAAGGTCACGTTCAAGGACACATCACACAGGGCGCACATACTACCTGCCTTAAGCAGAGCCTGAATACTGTCTGACCTAAAGGGGCTTCATCTCTTTGGGGCCAAAATCAACCCCAGCACCGCCTTTACCTCCCTTTCCCGCCTGGCCCAGCCTCCAGAACCCTCCTGCAGAACCTTCCTCCTGGGGGGCCACGGCCCGGGGAGAGCCCGAAAGTCTGCTCCCTCCACTACAGGCACAGTCTCCCCCCGAGGTGGGCAGCGGTGCACTCCCAGACACACGTAAATCACAGGCCCGTGTTCCTCAGATGATGGCAAGAAGGCCCTTTATCCAAAAGGAAGAGACCAAGCGCCCCTCTCCCACCCCCACTCCTTTATCCTCTGCGAGCTCAGGTTTGTGCAAAGCAAATCCAGCCGCTTTCATCCCTGAGAGAAACCAGCCCTGGAGACACCAAGGACAGATCCAGGCCCTGACACGGTTTGGTGCGGGGATGCCTGTGGCCACAGCCCGTCTGCCCGGCCGGCCGGCCGAGGCCTGACTTACGGAAGGCCGTGTAGAACTCTCGGAGGGTCAGCCAGCCGTCACTGTTGTAGTCATCAAATCGAAGGAGGTCGCTTGGCGAGCATCCCAGGAAGCTCTCCTCCAGGTCCTGCTCCTTCAGCACGTGCTGTGGGTGAGGGAGGGAACAAGGCCGGAGCCGGGAGTGAGCTCAGAGCTATGGGCTTTGCTGGGACATGGCTCAGGCCAGTTGGGGCGAGGAATCAGCAACAGCTCAGTGGGCCCTGGGGAGCATCTGAAGCTCTCTGCTTTTGTCCTGCCTGACCCTCCCATTTTACAGATAAGAAAACAGACTCAGAATGGGGAGGGACTTTCCTAAGGCGGGGCAGAGTTGGGATTAGTGTTCAGGTGCGTCTTCTCGCCATCTGGGCAGACAGACCCCAGAGGTCAGAAGGATCCTTGAGGCCACCTGATCTATCCTTCATGCTATCGATGGGGAAACAGAGAAGAGAAGGGGCCTGATCAAACAAATTCAGCAAATAAATAGAGGCTGAACAGAGGTCTCCTGGCTTCCAGCTGTGGATAGCTGGAAGGTCATTAACGCCTCCTCCCCCCATTCCCACCAGCCCTTGCAATCTCAGGGCTGTGCCCCCTATCCACAGCACAGCCCCCCGAAAGGGAGGGTTGCCATTCTACTGACCGAGCCTGAGCCGTGCCTCTGCCTGCCCGGCCCTGCCAGGGACAGAATGTGTCCTTGGGACCCTGGCAGGGGCCATGGGTGGGCTTTTATGAACTCCTCTCTGGATGTGGCCCAGCCGCAGGGCACAGAGCCCTCCCCAGCATGACCAGCCACATGCCAAAGGTGACTAAAGGTAGAGACTTCCGCCACCCTCGCTCGGCTGGGGCCAGACGCTGGTGTGTCTTACAGAAAAAATGCTCAGAAGGAAACCTCAGAAGAAGGAAAGAATTTCATTTTATTCCAGGGGGCGGGGAAGAGGGGGACAGGCATTTTCTCTTTGTTTAACAGTCTCAGCTTGGTCTGCTATATGAAAAGCAATTTAATGTGATAATGTTAAAAAAAAATGACCCTTCACCTGGCAAGTAAGAGTGGTCGATAAAAGGGAGATCAACCATAACGCCCGAAGTCAATCTTTCAGGGATGGAAATTTCCCTTCGTCTATTTCTGCATTGGAAATGGATTAACGTTTCATAGGACCTACGCGTTTTTCCCCCACACCTTTGAGTCAGTGTCAAGGCAAGGCTCCCTTAAGCTGGGCTCTGCCTGGCAGATTTATGAAATGGACATTAAATACATTAACCCAATTACCATGCATGTTAATGGCTCCAGGTGCCTTGGGGAACGCCTCTGCCAGGTTAGAGCAACATGGCCAGGAAGGTCCTGTTTACTTAGTCACCTGGGAGCCATGTGGGCTGGGGGGCCAAGAGCCACAGCAGCCTCTGTCCAGGCCACGCCAAGCATCTGCCCCAGGCGCTGCCTGCACAGCCTGTGGCCTGGGAATCACCAGGCGGTTCCTCCTGCAGGGAGCGCCACCACCAGGACCTGGGCTTTCCCAGCGCAGCTTGGGTCATCGGTGGGTTGCTGGCCCTGCCCCCTGGGGTCTTAGCCACAGCAGGGGCCTGTTGCTGAGAAAGGTGGTGCAGTGCTGGCTGGCATGGCTGATGAAGGGGGTGCTGTCCAGGTGTGGGTGAGAAGAGTGGGGTCTGCATGTGCTCCCAGGAAGCGAGCTCTGGACTTGTGGAGTGGGAGGCCCCGGGAGGGGGACTCTGCCTGGAAGGGCTTCTAGGTGACTGTTCCATACTCAGGTTTTGGGGGCATTTGCTGGCCCCATAGACCTTGAGAGGACTGGGTGGAACTTCCTGGGGGGAGCCATGCTCCCCTGGGAGACCCCTGTGCTGTGAGGAGAGCAGGTGCACGCCCACCAGCCCACCTGGGGTGCATCTTAGTGCCATCATGTCATGAGCAGCAAACAAACCCAGGTGAGCTGCTTGGTTTCTGTGAAGTGGAGGGAACAGCAGTGCCTGCCTCACAGCAGAGGACGCTGAAAGGTTTAGGAGGAAGTAACAGTCACCAAGATGATGACGAGGACATCGATACTGACTGCTATCACCTCCTGAGAACGTGCCGTGTGCCCAGCACTGTGCCCAGCACGTCACACCTTCCTTGTTTAACCCTCCTGATGGATGGCCCTGTGATGGTCACAGACCAGAAATGGAGGCCCAGAGAGGCGAGGTGTCTCCCAAGACCCACCAGCCAGAGAATGCTGGAGGCGGGACTTGAACGCAGGCAGTGTGACCGTGAAGCCAAGCAGATCCCATGTGTTCTCAGCTACTACACGACATAGCAAGCACCTCTTCTGCTTGTTACATCCAGGGAAAGGCCTGGCTCACTGCCTAGCACATAGGGTGCTCGGTAAGAGTTAGGGCACACACACCCCAGCCCAGTCCTTCCTGGTGACTGGGCCGTTTTGCTAAGGTCACCACATCATGTGAAGGGTTTCTTTATAGTGACATCAAAGGCGGGGACTTATCTGTCCTCTGGTGGGCACTCGGTCTCTGTGGGCGAGCTTCCCTCGCCCACCACCCTGCTTGGGGAGGCCGACCTTGCCTTCCTCACAAACCTTTGCACCTGCCTGATGCGGCTCAAGAGCCCTAGGTCCTTAGAGGCAAACCAGCGGAGCAGGAGCAGGAATGCAGGCGCTTTGGCCCACCCAGCCTGCCTTCCTGCCACCGGCCAGGAAGATCCTCCCTACAGCTGGCGATGACTGCGCCCGGTTGCTCCCTCCTCACGTCTCTCTGCCACAGATGCTAACTGCCCTCGCACTTTCTTGTAGCTGGACAGGCAGACACATGTGCTGGGTTTGGGGAGGGAGGCAAACCGCAGAGCTTGATGCAAGTGTTTTCTCAAAGGAAGAGCAGTGCTTAGGGGTGGACGCAGGGCTCTGTGCCAGGAAGCAGGCTGGGGCGTGGGCTGTTGATATCTGGGTACTAAAGAACAGCGAGACCCTAGGGGGGAGGACCGGGGGACGCCCGGGTTGCAGCCCCTGGGGTGTGTGGTGAGACCGAGCCTGCTTCCTTTTGCCTTCCCGCTGAGGAAAGTAAAAGACTCACGGAAGAGATTTATTTCCTAATGACAACATCAGAGACCAGCCCCGGTGAAGTGTGTGTTTTGCCAGCTAGCCGCGAGCGCTTCAAAGCTTGTTTGTAAATATTGGCTGAAGGTGGCTGGTGGGAAGAAGACACGGCGCCGTTTGTTTGTCAGAGATTCTGAGAGGCCCTGAACGCACGCTCTCCGCTCCCTGGAGAAGGGTCTCTTGCAGGAGGCCCCCGGGCGTCCCAGCACAGAGACAGTTACAAACGACTCTCCGCACGTGACCTCCTGGTTCTCTTCATGGACATGCTCCGTGGAAAACCCGATTCCTCCTTAATTTTATTTTCATTGGATGCCGTACTCACCTGAGCCAGTTCAGAGCTGCCGAGGTGGCCGTCGCCATCTGCATCCAAGTCCTTAAACAGAGATTCCACCAGGAGGCGCTTCTGGGAGGCAGGGTCTCGGCGGCTGGCCCCTTCCGGGAGTGGCTGCAGGCGGGTCTGCAGTGCCAGAAGGACATTCTTCAGGCGGGCATAGTTGGCCATGGTGCACGGCTCGCCTGGAGGTGGAGAGGGGGTTATTGCAGTGAGACTCCGCCCCAGGGCGTTGGGAGGACCTTCATCCATCCGTTCTGGGCATTTCCCGCGTGTAGGGTGGGGTAGGGGGGTGGGGGGGGGAAGAGAGAAGGGACACTGGAGTAGATGGATCTGCCTGCCCACCAACCCACCCATAGCTATCCCCTGAGCACTGGATACATGCCGCACATGATGCAAATGCTGGGCGGGGCCTGCCGTCCACCCCACAGAGCTTTACTGAGCACCTACTATGCGCCAGACACAGAACAATTGCCAGATGGTCCGGGGGGAGCTTGTCCAGGGGAATTCACAGCGGCAGCCCCACAGTGGCTTCAGGGAAGCTGGCCCCCATTTCACTTTGTAATAGCTCGTCTTTGCCTTAATCCCACCTTAAAGGCTGCTTTTGAATACTTGGCTTCATAGATTCGGGAGTTTTAGTTAACAGGACTAAGAAGCCCTGCTTAAGTTAATTAGGTACACTCCCAGAGCTGGATTACTTCAAAACAAACATGTGTATGCAAGTCTACAACCAAGAAACAAAAGGAAGCTTTACGAAATTAACCCCGGAGCACGCAGCCCCTGCTCTGGGCCTGGATCACAGGCCTGCCTGCTGCACAGCGTCAGGACAAGGCGGCGTTTCGGCGGGTGGGGCCTGGGATGCACTGAGACCTGACACTGGCCATCTTCCCGGTGGCGGGCCGGGCGCTGGGAGAAACACCACAGGAGGCACAGCCTGCCACCGGAGGCTGCAGGGTGTTAGCAGAGCAGGGGAGCCCTCCGGCCCCGCTTCCTCGCCTCCCTGGGGATGGAGGGCTTCCTGAGTCCTGGTGGGATCCTCACCGTCCACTCCAGGTGGGAGGCCAATGTGCTGCTGGGAATGCACGTTCCCTTAATTCCTAGGCCAGATTAGAGAATCAGGGGTTGGGACAGTCACTGTAACGTGGGGCTGGAGAGCGCCGACTCAAGTCCCCTGGGCTTCAGACCCAGCCCTGCCGCTGCCAGAACCTGCACCTTGTACCAGGCGCCTCTGTGATTTCATCTGGGAAGTGGGAGGACACCCTTCCCACGCAGCTGCCTCCCACAGGGGCTGTTATGAGGACTGAGTAAGATGCACACAGAGGGGTTAGCACGGCTTGGCACAGAGCGAGGGCTCACCGAACGCTAGCGATTCTCTCCTTATCATCAGTAGGACCACATTTGCTGAAGAGCAACAAACAAGGAAGCTATTGATGGGGGAAGGGCGGCCCGGGAGTCTGTCTGCTGTTGCTCTCCCTCCCGCTCTCCCTGGACAAGCCTGGGCGGCCCAACCACTTTCTCTTGTGCTTGTTTGTGTTTCTAGATTTTCTTCCAATTGGAGGTCAATTGATTCTTGTCAGAAACAGATGCCTGTTACCATTTCCTCCTGCATGTTTATTTAGAAAAAAAATCAATTGCTGTGTTCAATGTAATCAAATCTATTTGTTCTCCGGGAGCTCCAGGCTCTGACAGGCCTGGCTCTCCCATTCCCCTACCCTGCTGGCGCCCTCTTTGGCCTGTTGGGTACCCATGCCGGGGAGCGCTTGGGGCCACCAGTCGGCAAACCTGGTCCTCAAGTCTGTATGGCTGCACAGTGTTGAAAACAGTGGCCTTGTCCTGCTATAAACCGCCCAGGAGAGGATGTGGCAGCCTGCTGGGGTTTCCCTTCTTCCCAGGCCCGGATAAAGGCCAGTTTTGGTGAAGCAGAGTGATAAATTTTGCCCCCTTGCCCTCAACAGGGTGAAATCCAGTTCTGGTAAATGACCCAGAAGTCAGAGGCAGTAAGGGAGCTGAGACAGAAGCTTTGGTGTAGGAGGTGAGGGCGTCTCTGTGTGGGGGTCTGTGGGGACCTGTCCCGAGGGTCAGGCTCTCCTGGGAGCGGCATTCATGCCTGCTGCTGCGAGGTCGCTGTGCACAGCAGATGGACATGGGGTCTATGGGTCAACGGGAGGCTTGACTCGGAAATGCTAGTGCACAGTCAGACTCCTGAGGACACACCCTGGCAGGGCCACCTGAAGGATGGGGCAGGACAGGTCAGCTGGGCAGAGATGTCTCCTTCTCGCTGGTCCCCCACAACCTCTACCCTTCCTCACAGACCCTGGTGGAGCATAGAGCTCCTCTGAGCTGCCTGTGGCCCTGGGACAGGGGTCTCCAGCTAGGCTGCATCTCCACACTGGCAGGTGGGTCCTGTCGAGAGGGCTGCAGCAACCCCCCCAGGGCCCGCCCCTCCTATCACCTTCCTGCCGTTCACTGTGAATTACAGGCTTTTGCTCCTCTACCCTGGCCATGGCCCAGCACAGGCCTCCTGGCCAGGAGGGTAGGCACATGTCTAGACATCAGCCTGGGGGACAGGGTGGTGTCCCGGTGTCCAGAGTCAGCTCCCCGAGTCCTTGGTCTTGCCCCCTGCGAGAGCCCACCCCGCCCTGCTCCCCCCATCCAGCACTAACTTATAAACTCTGTGCCAGAGGCTGGGTGGCACATTGGGGGCAGACAGTGGGCCTCTGGTCTGAGCACCCAGGGCGCCTGGAGGGGGAGCTGATGAGGGAGGGCATTCAGGATGAGACCTGCAGGATGAGAGAGTGTGGGGAGAAGGTGGCACAGGGAACAGCATGCCAGGCAGCAGGGCTTGCAGGAGCCCTTGCCCTTCCCGCTTCCATTTTCCACCTTAAAATGGGGGCAAAAATAGCCCCTCACCACCTTACAGAGTCATGACATTAAAGTAGCAATGCTCAACCCTTGTCATCTCATGGCACACATAAACGAATCACTAAAATTCGGTGGCACATCAAAAAGATATCTTTTGCTAGTCTGTCAAAAAAATAGGTATGATTTTGATTCATTCACAGTGGATAGCTATTGTTGTGTTGGTTCTTGTCATTTTTTAAAATTTATTTGACAATCTAAGGAAAAAGAGGTCAGTGCCCCTGACTAACTAGTCAGGCATTGCATGTTTTAGAAATGTTTGCAGCGCCCCATGTGCCCTTGGAGCCACCTGGTTGAAAATCGCTGCATCAGAGGAAAGGTAAGAGGACTTTGCCAAGTCCAATGGTCAGCCAGGCCTGAGGCTTCTCTGGATGACTCACGGGTCTGTCCCCATCACCTACCACCTGGCACAGGTGGCCATTATCTCGGTGTTCATGGAAGAACAGAACATTTCCTCCCTCCCTTCCCACTGCTCGTGGACATTCTCCCCAGGGGCCCTCTCACGGAGGGAGGTGCACGTCCTGGTCAGCCTGACACTGACGAGCATCCCCTGCCTGCGGCCTGGGTGACCTCCACATGGCAGGGCCGGCCTGGCCAGCCCCTGGCACTGGCCTTGGGCTTCCTGCCAGCACGAGTGTGCGGGGCTCCTCCTGCTGCCAGACCAGGCCTGCTTTGGCAGATAAAATATTGATCAGCCTGCTGAGGAGCCCAGAGCGGGATCCTATTTTCATGTCAGAACTTGGTAATGAACTACATTTATCAAGCCCGTTCTCCATGAGAAAGGTCAGCCGCAGATCTGGCTAAGTTGTGATGACACCTCATTAATCTAGTTCCCTCAATAATTGTCCCTCTTTGAAGATCCTAATGTTCTCCCATTCCAGCCACACTCCCTCGGGCCGAGGGAGATTATTATAGCAGGAGCACAGGCACATCCGCATTTAATTTTTTGAGTAAAGAGAGATAGGAAGCAGGTAGCAGCCTCTGGAATTAAATGTCCATCAAAGGAACACTTTCTCTTGCAAAACAAAGGGAAGCAAGAGAGACATTGCGAACGTCCCATCAGCCGCGCGCCCGGCCAGCTCGGGCCTCGCGGGGACCATCTTCACTCTGTGGCAGGCGATGCTCCCAGCCCCAGGTATGGGTGCGGCTGGAGGCTCCACAGAGTCCAGGGAAGGGGGTTTGCAGAATGTGGGCAGGGTGGGAGATGCCACCCAGCTAAAGGGAAGCTCAGATGCTGAGAGCGAGGCAGGCCATGTGGTGAAGGTGCCTGTTGGAGGCCCAGGTCCTGGACACAGGAAGCAGCCAGAAGCAGGTGAGGGGAGGCGGGAGACACCTTGCACCAGGGAGGGAGGGAGGGCGGTGAGGGTGACCAGGAAGGGGCAGTGTCTGCCTGCCTTTCCTCCTTCCCCACCCTCAGCCATTCCTGCACCACGTCCTCTGGCCTCCTTCTCCAACTTGCTCCCCACCCCCCACCCCCGCCTATAGAGCCCCCTCGTTCACTGGCCCTGTTTTCTCCATCGCGGGGTCTGGGCTGGTGCACCATGCCCCGAGATTCCAACATGTGGGTGTAGGCAGCTTGCTTCCCAAACCACGCACAGGCCATCCCTTCGGAAACCACACAGTAGCCAGCCATGCCTGAGAGTCACACCCACTAGACTCTAGCCCTTCTTGACCTGGCAGGGACCCAGCCCCTTGGCTCAGATTCTGAGACCCTCACATGGGAGAGCCCCCAGTGGAGCCCAAGGGAGAGACCAGATGTGCCCAGGCTTATAGGGTCACTTGTGGGCAGGCTCCTCCTGATCCCCACACGAACATTAGCATCCCCAGCCCCCACATTGCCCCCAGCTGGGAAGCAATGACACTTGCCGCTTGACAAAGCTGTGATCTTTCCCACCAAAGCAGAAACTTGGCTCAGTCGTCTGGCACTGATGTCACAGCTGAATGTGGCTGTGCGACACAGGCCTCAGATGCCATGTGTCATGCTGAGGTCTACTTTGAAACTGCTAAGCTGTGCAAAGAGCAGAAAGCATTTTACTCCCAGATCTAATTTATGAGCTGCCATAACTTTACTGGAGTTTAGCTTAAGAGGAACAGATGTTTAACTTGATGTAAATTCAGGAACATTAACCATCTTTCTGCTGCCATTTCTGTGAAAATTCAATTAACAATAAATGCCCAAACCAATGGGTTTATCTGAAGATGCATTTCCACTAACATGGTATAGTTTTACTGATGGTGTGGACCAAGCCACAAAATTCTGGAAATT